GGAAAGAGAAGCTAGCACGACTCTACTCAGCGCAGGAACCCTGCTGGAAACAATGAAGAAACTCATGTACTTCGTGATGGCCCTACGAATACTACAATGTTGCGCGATTCCATCCATTTAACAGCCGAGGAACAGCAAACGTGGACGCAATATAAGGCAGAGCCATCACAGGTACTAAATAACAGAGGGCTATCGGGCGGAAGTCCACCCGCTGCACGCTCAATGCACCGCATCCAGGTCATTCCCTGAGAAGCCCCATGGGCTCTTTCAAGGGACGGTGGCCCCCGCATATATTCCGAGAGGACGCGTAACAGCAAGCAGGCGAATTGCTAAGAAAATGCAATTTTAAACGGTCGACGAATGCATTTGCGCCCAATCCACGGGCAAAGACGATGGTGGGAGGTGGCACATGCGCGTGGACATCAAGTTGATCAACAAAACCACGATGAAACAGAAGTTTCCGATACGCAGGATCGACAAAGTTCTTGAACAATTGCAGGGGTCCGCAGTATGTTCATCATTTGACGTCGCTGAGGCGTGTTTGCAGTCCCCGATACATCCTAACGACAGACACAATACCGCGTTTCAAACCCACACTCGCAGGCTAGTACACCTGTATGCGCTTTCGGCTCGTGCCGGTCGCGGTATGGACCGGCCGAACTGCAGAGACAGCTCAATCGAGACTTCTGGAGGCCAATCAATGATGGATGGCTGGTTATATACATGGATGAAGTGCTTGTGTCCAGCCAGTATGTGCAGGAGCACTTCCAGCACATGCGGCGCCCACTGAGACTGCTACGTGAGGATCGGTTTGTAGGAGCACAAAAGTGTCCGCTTTTCATGCAAACCACTAGTTGGAAATCATTAGCGCCTTGGGGTTTTGTATCTCTACAACAGTAGTCAAACCATATCCGGCGAATATTGAGGCTCTTCGAACGTTGGAGCAGTTTCTGTACACCCGCTCGGACGCTCAGAAGTTCTTAGTTCTTGCTTCGTACTGCCTCAACTTCATATCCGGCTTCGTTCGCACTGCCGCCCCTCTAATCTAGTTAAGAAGAACAAGTAGCTTATTTGGACGGAAAGTGAAGACTCGGGCACCAGAAGGCTCATGAGGCACTTGACATCGTCTCCAGTCCTCCCGCTCCCATATGACAACCCCTTCTTCCTAGCAGCCGATGCAAGCGACAGAGAATTCGGCGCAGTCCTTTCCCAGGAAGCAAACGAGTAAAAAACGCCAAATAGTCGCCTGCGAGATACACCATTTAACAGTGTAGGAGCAGAAGTGTCTGGTGCGTGAGAAGGGGCTCTACGATGTCTGGTGGGGTATAAAAAATTGTCGAGATTGCCAGGGTAGAGCAGGCGGCTTGACAAGAGCTGCAACGCACCCTGCAGCAACCCATGCTGCAACGCAACTCCACATACATGCGCAACCAAGCCCTATTGCTGCAAGAATTAACACTATAAACANCATGCTGCAACGCAACTCCACATACATGCGCAACCAAGCCCTATTGCTGCAAGAATTAACACTATAAACAACTGTTGAGCACTCACTTCGCCCCCAGTGTAGAGGGTGCTTCTCGGCCCTATTCAAGGAATAAAGCGAGTTGCAGTGAAACCAAATACTTAAGGTAACAGTTTCCGCAGTGCAGCTAGCCTCCTCTCCCCGTCTCAAGGCATCACGCGTGTTGAGCTCAGGGCCTGGACATTCGGGGGCGGAGGCAGCCTAACAGGAGTTGCACTGCACGCTGCTGCTGGCGACAGAAGTCAGTCGCAGACTTGAGCTCAAGGGAGCTTCAACGAAGCTTTCTTTACATCATGTTTTACTCTCTAGAGACGCACAGGGCATTTGTATTTGCTTGCATGCAACCTATCAAAGTCCAGTGAATGTTCATGTGCTTACAGCTATCCAGCCTTAACCAAGGATAGAAGCGAGCTGCAGTGAACGTAAAGAATTGAAATGAACGTTTCCCNAGCTATCCAGCCTTAACCAAGGATAGAAGCGAGCTGCAGTGAACGTAAAGAATTGAAATGAACGTTTCCCCAAAGCAGGTGACCTACTTCCTCTCTCCCCAGGCATACTTGGCGTTGAGCTCAGGTCCTCTGTTTACTGAATATTCACTACAATCACGGCAGCACTGCCGTGCTCGTTGTGTAAGAGTGAGGGTTGATTGAACAGTTGAAGTCTCTGTGAGTGCAAGCACTCTCTGCGAGTGCTTGTTGATGTTAATTGAGTAAATGATTGATACGTGGACTAAATATTGTTTACGAAGAGACGTATCGATATGAGTATAGGAGAGGCTGGCATGAGATTTGGTGCAAAAGGTGTTTCAACATGCCAGTCCATCTCCTAGCCCAGCCCCAAAGGCCACAGTTCCGGATATAGTGGTGTTGCAGAACAGAACAACTTGGAGAAAAAGGGAGAGGGAACCTTCTTTAAGCTTTGTTAGTTTGTTATGTTTGCGGTATCAGATGAGAGCTCTAAGCGTCTGTAACAGTTTACTTGAGGGTGTCATTTAATTAATGCCTGCCGGCTCGTTATACTCGGCTGTGGGGTTCTAAGGATTCACCCCACAGTAGTATTTCAGAGGAACAGCTTACTAACATGTCATGCTTTCTGCAAATGGTATACTAAAGTGTAGTATTCGTTGCTATCGTGAACAAATCTCGACATAGCATGTGATGGACTGACAGCTCGAACCACACATCATCAGCTTACTGGGCCTGCAGTGTAGCGTAGGTTAGCGCACGAGCCTTCACTTGGATTTGGTATGTTGCGTGTAAACGCTTGCAAACGTTCTACAAGTNTAGGTTAGCGCACGAGCCTTCACTTGGATTTGGTATGTTGCGTGTAAACGCTTGCAAACGTTCTACAAGTACATTCAGAGGGAAAGCATGCAGGAAAGGAAGCTTCGCTGAAGCTTCCTTGCGTGCACGCGTGGGGCCGGCTTGTTCTACCAGCCGCAGCGATGTGCGCTGCAACCCCATTCCTGGCTACCCCCTCCCCGCAACACCCAGGCCCTGAGCTCAACGCCCAGGATGCCTAGGGACAGGGGCGAGGTGAGCTGCTTTTGGGAAAGTCTTACTTCTAGTCTTTACCTACATTCCAGCTCGCCTCTGTCCTTGGTAAAAGCCAGAGCACAAGGGCGGTCAATGCATGGTCTAGAACCGCAGAAGGGAAGCCAGCTCTATTTCGTTATCCAAAACCGCGGGAAATGCATTTCCGCCAAAAAGCGATTCAAGAAAAATGCCTTCGGCTGTGCTGCCCTACGCGATATGATGGGCGCCAGGTTGCAGAGGCCGTAGAGGAGCTCCTGAGTTCCCTAGACGTATACCTGTGTCTACAAAATGCCCCAGAGGAACTCCAATTACTGCTGGCATCCTTCTTATTAGAAGGGGACGCACGGCGGTGGTGGCTACACTTCAGCAAAGGCTCCACGTTCCCNACATCAGGTCCACGCAGGCCTTCCGGGAAGCGGTGCGTTGCAAGTTTATTCCGAGGTCTTCAAACGAGCAGGCTATGGCGGAATTGAGAACAGTTAAGCAGGGAAAACTTTCAATAGAGCGATACATTGAGAAATACCAGTCCTTGGTGAACCGAAGTCATATGGTGGATCCGGGGCTCCTCTATAGTTGGCTTACAGCGGGGCTCTCCCCCGGAAGGAGGCACGCAGTAACTGCCTGGGCCACGGACAGGGAAATGAGGGGCGAAGGAGTGGAACTAGCTGACATGATGGAGAACCTCCGCAGAATGGAAAGGAAAACGCCACGTCCGCAGCCTTAGCCAAAAAGGAAGAAAGCGGGTCTGGGAACGATCCCGATTTGTAACCAATGGATATTGGGCTGTGAACGCCAAGACAGCTAAACAGGAGTCTAGAGGCGGCTACCGACAGCAGACGGTGAACTCAACATCCAGAAAGCAAGAGGGAGACTCTGAACGGCGTACTGGCTTCTTTTGCAATAAAGACTGTCACGCATTTCGAGATTTCCGGCCTATCAAAACGCCAGAGAACAATTGAAACCAAATACGGAACAGCCCCGCCAAGAGAACAAACAGAGCAAGCAGCGAAACGCCCGGGGCCCCAAGCAACGTGCGGCGCAATGAAGGGGTCACACGCGATAACGGCCGCACCCACAGATCCACCTCGATTCTATTCAGTGTTTGTAAAAGTAAGCATAAAGTGGCAGTATTATGATTTCATAGCCCTACTCGATAAGCGATGTAGAGTTGATCTGATATCGGAAGCCACAGCAAGGAGGTACAGCCTATCCGTCTACTCATTGGCGCAGTTTCTGACGCTAGGCTTCGCAGATGGAGGACAGAATACAAGACTCGGCGAAGCGATGGGCGCAAAATGCTCCTTCAGTTCCAAAACAGGGCACATTCCTATGACTAGGGACTTCTACGTCGGACCCATTCACCATGACATACTCCTAGGCATGCTGTGGGTGACCCAGTGGAAGGCTCAAATGCGTTCTTCTGATGATGCCATAGAACTCTTCCCGCCAGGAAGTGATGAGTGTGTGCACCTCTCAGCGCTTCCAACGGCATTTGCATCTTATATGGTCGGAGGTGTGGAAAGTATGTCCGAAGGAAAACGGGGCGAGGAGGCACCCATGCAGTGCAGACACACTGAAGGGGACGACGGAGATATGCATCTACTCCGTCGTGAAGGTCTGGTAAAGACTGCAGTCTAGGGGGATTCGATCCAATTAACACCCGAGAAAAGGCAGAAGTGGGCAAAACTGAAGGAAGAGTTCGCAGATGTACTCAACAACTACCGGTGGGCAGGCCACCCGGTGGACACTCAGTGCACTGCGTCAATCTCCTTCCCGGCGCAGCCCCAAGCTTTGTTCCAAGGTACCGACGACGTCCACATCTTGAAGAGGAAGGTGAACGACGGGCCGGTGAACTTCTACGAAAAGGCACGGTTTAGCGGTCAACTAGCGCATTTGGAGACAGCCCGGTGTTGGCGAAGAAAAATGGCCGCAGGTGGTGCATGAGCGTCGAGTTCAAGCTTGTCAACAAAATTACAGTGAAGCAGAAGTTTCCGATGCGCCGGGATGACGAAATCCTTGGCCGCTTACAGGATTCGGCGGTATACTCAACCTTTGACTTCGCTGAGGCCTTTCTGCGGATCCCCATTCCTCCGGAAGACAGGCACAAGACGGCGTTCCACATCCGCACTCGCAAGCTAGGGTACACTTGTATGCCGTTTGCCCTCGGAAACGCGCCTGCTGAACTGCAGCAGCAGGTCAAGCACGACTTCCTGNCACTTGTATGCCGTTTGCCCTCGGAAACGCGCCTGCTGAACTGCAGCAGCAGGTCAAGCACGACTTCCTGAGGCCAGTCCCTGAGGGGTAGATTGCGATATACATGGATGATCTGCGTGTGTTCAGCCGAAATGTGCAGGAGCAGTTACAGCGCCTCCGGTTGGTGTTGCAACTACTACGTGAGAAGCAGGTTGGCGAAAGCTCAAAAGTGTTCGTTCTCCATGTAACCAATCAGTTTCTTAGGTTTTCATGTCTCTGCAGCAGGGGTTGAACCAGATCCGGCTAATATCGAGGCTAATCAGCGATGGCCGCTACTGCTGTACGCGCGGACGGACGATCAGATGTTCCTCAGGCTCATCTCATACTACCGCAATTTCATTCCTGCAATCGCTCGCATTGCTGCCCCTCTAACAGATCTTCTTAAGAAGGAGAAGCGGTTTGTTTGGATGGAGAACGAGGATGCAGCCGCCCGACGCCTCGCCGGGCAACTGACATAATCCCTAGTGCTCGCGCTCCTTGATTTTGGTAATCGCTTTTTCCTTACGACCGATACCAGTAACACCTCTGCGTTATGCTCTCTCAGCAGGCTAGTGGATCGAAAAAGCACCTTAATTGCCTGCTACTCACACCGTTTCACAGAGAGGGAGCAAAAGTAATCGGTCAGGGAAAAGGAGCTCTACGCAGTCTGGTGGGGTGTAAAAATGTCTCGAGATTACCTCTAAGTGAGGCACTCTACTTTCCAAACGGATCATCAATCCCTGGCGCGCCTGAAAAAGAGGTTTCAAAACTATGATAACGACAGTGTTGTTCGGTAGCTCCCGCGGATCACGCAGTACGACCTCACTGTCAAGTGCAACAACGCTATCACCAACATTGTAGCGCACAGGTACTACAAGGGAGCACAAGTGAAACCTCCACAGACCTACTTAGCTGTAGGAGAACGAATACAATACTTATGGATACGAGTTGTATCACTTTATATATAATGTTATGATGAACAACGCAAGCTTGCTCAGCAGTCACACCAGTTTAGGACTGGTTTACGAGACTGATGCTACAGTTGAGACTCTAACGCAGGGCAGACTCAGGCATCAGTCTTGTTTTTACTGGATTTCCTTCTTTAGACCGATGGAGGCGAATATGGTTCAAGGTCTTTTGTCTGAATATTTGGATTGTTATAGCCTAGATAAGCTGTGCTTTCTGCATAGATGCAGTATCTGAACCCAGTAGGGTTGACACACGGTACATACGTAGTAATTGCCGAGCCCCCTCCTCACTCCAAACGTCGTCGCTGACGCACTCTCCAGACGCCCTACGGGCCAGGCACAAAGTTCCGCAACTGCACGTGTTTGTGATGATTTTTGTTTTATCTCCAAATTGGGTTCTTGTTATTCGTTAAATNTTCCGCAACTGCACGTGTTTGTGATGATTTTTGTTTTATCTCCAAATTGGGTTCTTGTTATTCGTTAAATACTCATGAGGCTGCGGTCTTGCTACGCTCAACAAGGGGCAACGGGTCAAGCACTACAGCATCGATGGCGACCAACTGAGGTACCGAACGAAGTGTGGACTTCTCAGATTGTACGCTTTAACCTCCCTTCGCACGGAACTTTCGCGGAAAATGCATGACCATGCGCTAGCAGGAGATGGTTGCATGCGCAGGAGCCTTCACTTGGTGGTAGGTTCCGTATAAACGTATGCAGACGTTCTATAAATACATTCAGAGGTAAAGCACGCAGAAAAGGAGGCTTTGTTGAAGCTCCCTTGTGTGCATGCATGGGTCCGGCTTGTATTACGAGCCGCAGCGAGGCGCGCTGCAACACAATTTCTTGCCGCCTCTTCCCCGCAACACCCAGGCCATGAGTTTAACGACCAGGACGCCTAGAGACAGGGGAAGGAGGTCAGCCGTCTTTGGGAAACGCTTACTTCAAGTCTTTACCTACATTCCAGCTCGCCTCTGTCCTTGATACAGGCCAGAGAGCAAGCGGTATAATGGTGTTGGCAATACAACGGTGGAGCGAGGTGGCAGGCCCTGTGGTGGCCAGGGATGCGCCCCTCAGTCGAGGGATACGTCCGCTCCTCTCCGGGCTGCCAGCAGCAAAAGTCGCCGAACACCTTCAAACCCGGACTCCTGCAAATCATTCCAATTCCCGAAAGGATCTGGACGGAGATCTCCATGGATTTCATAGTCAGAAGCCGTAGCCGTGATACTACATATGTTGCTGCGGATCGGCTCAACAAATACGCTCATTTTATTCTTTTTTCGAACACGGTCACAGCAGAATGAGTGGCTTAACTATTCATGAATTATTTGTGGAAGCTCCGCTGTGTGATACCAAGCTTTATACCGTGCTACACCGAGTGCGCAGCCTGCACTTAAGTTGGCCTAACCAGGCCAACTTCACACAAACAANATATTGCACTCAAGTTAAGATACAGGCGCCAAGTCGCACAGACAGTGAGTGCTACAGCCCGCCCTCCCACAAGGAGATCCTATAAATCCTACATATATTCGAACGCTGACATTGAATTAACTCACCGCAAGTCACTTTACCGTACCAAAAAAATTATTTCACACAATTCTGCCTCACGTTGCCAACGGTCGAACATTCGTATCGTTCTAGAAATAATAAGCATGCTAGCAAATGCCAGATGCTCACGGAATGCGGAAAGAATTTTTGGAAAGTTTTAAATGCATGCCATCACAAAGGTCTTAGTATTCCTTAGTTGATCCCAAGGAACAAAGAGCTGCAGGACTCTTTTAAAACGCTAAAACAGTTTGTATCTGTGGCCGTGGAAGTCAACTCAGGTCACTGTTCTAGGCGGCGCACAGTCCTGTTAGTCATGGTGGCTCGAGGACCCACATGGGACGACCTTACACTGCTGTGAGCATCATTTTAACAACTTCCGGTAATATTTTTGTCGCTTTCATAGAAAATAGGAATAAATGTTTGCTACCTAGAGCAATTTCGGCCTCCATGGAGAAATATGTGGCACTCTTCGCCGTGTGCCTCAATTGTTATGCCGCTCGCCGCGGCAGTGGCGATCGGATTTCATGGAACAGCAGCCGCAACTCCTGTTGATTCAGGCTCATATCTCCTGCAGGATGTGGTGCCGACGTTACCTCCGAACATTTCCGCGGTGGGCAGACACCAGCGCCGCCATTCTCCCCGCATGGGCCCGCATGTGCTGATGGCCCTTTTGGCCGTGGGCTTCGTCCTCATGTATTGCTTCAAGGTGATCATATCTAACCGACAGGCAAATGGCATGCTGGAGCGGAAGCTTGCAGTGGGCGGCATAGATTCCTGCTCTGTAAGTCGTCATTCATATCCGAACTGAAACGCAGCGCTCTCAACATTGTGAACACACGTGGAACATTGCTGATGCTTCACAAACTGATAGAAAGGTGGTAGCGGTCGCTTGTTGCTGCGTTTCCACCCACACTCCACCAGGGTACTACGCGCGTGCACGCCCAAAATATAGCAAAGAATACGGCTGGTTCACCATAGGCATGCTTGTGTTGACGTGCGTGGAAAGCTTTGTGCGTAGCGCGCCGTGCAGTAAATTACGGTATCGTTTATAAACTTGCTTGCTCAAGGTGTGATGGGGCTGCAATTAGGCTTGTTCTGCAGCGGTGAGAGCATAGGGCCCTCAGAAGTTCCATCCTTATAACCAAAGTTGCAAGGGCTCTTTGGTTCCTACTTTGCCTCTATGCTGCCTTGCATTTGCACATGAACACGTTTCCGGAACTTGACGGTTTCTCATGGTGGGGGAGGACTCGCCAGGAGGTGCGTTGCCTGCAGCAGATGTCACCGCCAANCTTGACGGTTTCTCATGGTGGGGGAGGACTCGCCAGGAGGTGCGTTGCCTGCAGCAGATGTCACCGCCAAGCGGACAGGGAATTTGGTTCCCAGTGCAAGGCAACGCCCCTGTTGTGCCTGGTTAGAGAAGTGCTTGTAGTTGTAAACTTTTCTTGTTTAGAAGTGAAGGTGGAAGGTATTTTATGAGAATAACTGGCTCGCGCGTTATTTTAGCGTTGATACCTCCGAGGGCACACACCGTGCACGTGCTTTGTTTTCTCCGGCCAGAACCTTCGTGGCCACTTTCTATTTCGTACGTGCTCACTTGTTAAGGA